GACGTTATTCCTTCGCCGTCAGAGGGTGCACTGCCCGGAATTCCTTATCATCTCATGTCGTTTGTGCCAATATTTTTAATTCTTTCAAGATAAAACTTGACGATTCATTAACACACATTTCATTCCAACATCCATGAGTACACATGACAAAATCGAATACATCATATGGAATTTTGTTCATCATTGTTACACTTCAATTCGTGTAAACACCCTATGGGACAAGAAAAACATCTGCTTGTAAGTAATGCCCATAATAAAACTTTGACATGGAAATCGTTTGTTGTGCTTTGTTTGTCAGCTTACTTCGATACAATTCGGCGGTCCTTTCGGAGAGGATGGGCCAGCTTCATTAAAATCTCGAACTTCATGAGAGTTTGACGCAAGAAACATTCGCAGACACATCCGGTTTCTTTTACGAGGGTTCACCTCTAACTTATTTCCAACCATGTGCGGATTACTCGTGAGTTCTGGGAGCTCATTTGCCATTCGATAAATGTGAACACAACCCCGGATACGCTTTATAGCCATAAATCAAGCAGTAGGCCTCGTTTGCCCACTGAATAGTAGTTATCTTCGAATACCGTGTAATATCTCGCCGAGGTTCTTAAGCTTCGGTCACTCTCGACATGATTCATCCGACTGGTCGCACGATTTACCGGGACGTGGCTACCGATGGATGCTTCAACTTCCTGTAGATGTACGAGCACCGCTGTTTACGAAACCTTTGTCCCATTATTCAATGTCTCCATTGATTACAAGGGTCCCGAGGTCCCCATCTCGGAATCCTAACGCGATCCAAATGACCAAGTCTCCTGGTTAAGGCTTTCATTGCCCCATGCTAGGTTTTTGTTTGACCACCTTTGGCTTTGTTTCACCTACTACCTGTCTCATTAAATATGGCGCTCCTTGACAACCCGTTTGGTGACTTGCGCAATACCTGTCTCATCCAGCGTAATCTACGGAGGTCGACTACTTATTCCAGTGGGTGACCGTGACTATCTAAAATCCTGTGCTTGTTCGGTTGCCCGATCAGACTCGTGCAATGCAACGTAGACACCGGTGTTCGAACACCGACAGCCTATCTTTATCCTGTTCCTGTAATAATCAAGTCTCTACACCGTAAAGCAGCACTGATCAAACTACCGCAGTATGCACTCCACCCTTTACAAACAGTTGGATGCCGCGATGGCCCTGGAGGTGTCTCAAGTTGAAAAATGCCTCTGTTTGACTCTGTCCTCAATATTCCAACCCTCCTTGTTCTGTCATCCAAATGGGCAACCAAAAGACAGTACCCAAAACCGGCGCACGAAAGTGCACGTTTGATGGTTGCAAAAACTGGAACTGAACTGAACTTAACGTCTCGTAGCAACAGCTGAGAATTGTCTAGATGATGGAGATCCAAGAGGTGGAATGTGCCACAATGGATATAATTATTCAGCAGCTACTCCGTGCACTCCCTATTGGCCTAACATTTGCATGCCATTCGGATTTGATCGGCTACTTTGATTATATTGCGTGGACGAAAAATGACGTATTCTTCCGAAATGAAGCATCTCTCACCTGTCTAACCGATGTTATTTCTGTGTCAAATTTCCGAACTCACCAACTCTCCTCTACACTCATCTCAAGCTCGCCTGCCTGGTCTATATGGGACTTTCTAACTGAATCTGATGCCCGATAAAACTTCAGAATTGGAATCTTCACCTCTGAGGCCCCGAAATTAGGTGTATAGATTGCAAGATAATAACTATATGCTTCTTAGGCTATTACTTAGCCCCAGAAATATATGACAACAAAGAAAACATACCAAGATTGAATGAGTTACGCAAATGATACGATCAACTTCATGCAAGCTGTATTCGATTCAATATCGGTTCCATTCCACTCCAAACGAACACTACTCCAACTAACCCGAATCAACCCCGTACCTGAGTCTCTCTTTCCTTTTTCTCCCTATTGAAATGGGGATGCATTAGGTATCTCACAGCAATTAACTATCTGGACAAGCACATCAGGCCAGTGAGGGTGAACGATATCCCCAGTGGTGGTTGAGCGCCGCATGCAACAGTCTAGCATAACTACTCTACATCTGTTCGAACTCGTTCGACCTATTACATGCGGGCTACTATGTGCGAAAAACAATATTCCATGGCTGATGCTCTTTTTTTCGCCTTCTGTACGCTTTTTACAGGCACGATTCAAAATCATACCGTAGAACGGATTGACCTGTTGTGATGTAATCTCAACTCCTTATACACATACAGATACTAATAGAGGCCACAGACAACTTAGTTACCAAATAAACTTTGTGTATATGCGATGCAGCTGAATATGAAATATGCATGCAGTGGCATAACTCACCAAAACCTATCTGCTGGTTGTGTCGTTTGGAGTACAACTATCAACGTACTCACCAAAATAACACTCCACGCCCATAATGGAACAATAGGGGAGAAGTTTTTGTATGCATTATCATCATATAAGCATAGAACCGAGTACTCAAGGCTACATGCGCGTTAAGTGTCAGGAGAATAGGCGAAAGAGACAAACTGTATTGAGCAGCACCACCTTCCGTGGTGATATACTCGGTGAAAAAATCACACCAAGTACGAATTGTGTCGCGCCTGTGCGTACACGCGGACAAGATAAAAGAGTAAAATCTCACTGGCATGCCGGAAAAGATAATACCGGCAAACAGATCAGATCGTAAATCGTATACGAGCTCGAGAAAACAGAAATAGTTGACCATATAGTCGTTGTGTGCTAATCAAACTTGCCTAATGTTTTTACCGGTTTTGTACATATACTTTTGTACGAAAACTAATTGCATATGTACATCCAGTTGTTTAGATCTCGTGACCAATAAACTGTACATCCTTATCAGATTTTCTGTTAACGTTTTTCCATTCCAAGTCCGATCCCGGAGCGCCCAATTTGATAATCGACAAATCGAATGCTTCCATCGAGTTTGAAGATGTGCATTTCGCTTACTATTCCAAAGGTCCAGGTGATTCCGACCTAGTGGGAAAGAATATCTTTGATGGACTCAGTTTCAAGGTGAACCGATTAAACGTTTGCTTTTTGATGGTATTATATCAATGCATTTGCTGCTACTTATTGCATAACGAATGCGAATTGTAGAATTCAGGTCTGTTTGCTCATGGGTGATGGGGTTGTCTGTCTGTCTGTCTGTCTGAATGTATCCGAATGGCGGATTGGAGAAAAGTATCACATCCATATTCAAGCGGTAACGAGGTGATTTTCGGCCTGGCTCTTATATGCTTGAACTAACAGTGTGGGTTTTCTGAATATACGGTGGGACTGAAACTTGTGTGTGTGTGTATGCGCGCGCGCGTGTGTGTGTATTGACACAACCGGATGGTTTGAGTGTTTCAGTTACTATATCGCTATGTTCCGCATGCGCCTCGATCCTGAAAAGTGCAATCTTACAGCCTTAGGTTGATTCATTGTGGAGAATTCGATGGTATTAGACAATTTTTTCATGTTTCCTGTTGGCGGAACCTTGGACTAAATATCTACCCATCTAGGGAGGCTTCACCATAGCACCTGACCATTCGTAAATTGTCGTGTGTTTGTGTGTGTTGCCTCATTTCCCCAGGTCCGTTGAACAGTGTGGCCGTCACAAGTGGAAGATAATTTTTTATTACCCAATGTGAATTACAGTAAACGTGGAAATTCCCCATAGACAAAGTGTATACTGTAGAAAGGATAGTAGGGAACAATCACGTAAGATTTGGTTTACTGACTGCGCTTACAGACTGTAAGGCTGTAAGCTGAGGGAAGGACAGAAAGTGGTAGAGTGTTCCGCAATCTGGAAGTTCGAGAAAAAGAAGACAGAAGCAGAGAAGTACGACATCGGTTGACCGAAATCTGATAAGGATGACTGGATGCTCGTGTACGCGATAGGCGGTAAAAGTTGGAGGAAGGGTTGCTGCCGGTGCAAGCTCCTTAGAATAAAAACCATTGTGTTATTGGTAGAGGTGGGCTAGTGACTGCAGACAGGAGGTCATGAAAGGATTATCGATCAGATGGCTTTTCGTTGAACATGATTTAGAAGAGAAAGAGAAGAAGACGAAGCCCTGTGCCACACGTGACTGCAGTGTTCAAGAGCAAGACAGATTTGACATTTGAACATTAGAACACGGTCTTAGATAAAGAAGTGTCTGGCGCGGAATTAAAAACCAACTTTTCGCACAACACGAGAAGCAAGCTAAGATACACAAGGGAGGTAGCCAAAAGAATTTGTAGGCAATACAAAACGAGAAAAGAGTCTGAGGAATGCAGCTGGGTGGAACCAAAAGGTAGTTGTGTGTGGGGGGTGGGGTGCACAGTGTTTCAGAGAAACCGAGAGGAGGCAGCTGTTAGAAGCATTGAATGAAACATGATTGTCATTGCCTCAGGAGATTTGTTCAAGATCAGATTCCATTGACACATTAGCTACCCTACATTCATGATCCGTGTTAGTTTTGGCATAGTTAGTAGTGCGGTAGACGAGGGAGCCGTGGAGGTTGGTATCATCGGCAAAAGAATGGGTTAGATTGGCAATTTTGGGAAG